CTGTTGAATTGTCCTTCCCATAGATGACTGGAAGCTCTTTGAGGGTGAGGGCTACATCTGCATTTCCTCCTATTGCATCCTACTGTCCAGTCGAGGGCCTGGCCACTAGTAGATGATTAATAAGCAGTTGTTCACTGAGTAGTTGGCAGGCAGGGCAGTGCCAGAGACCTGGCTGTTGTGGAGAAACTGGATGGACTCTGAAAAACAGGGCAATGAGCAATGTCTAGGCAGTAAAATCTGGAAGGAATTGTCTGGACCGTCTTGGCAAATGGACAGCCATCAACCTCCAGTTCTCTAGGGCAGAGGGATAACCTCGGTGTCAATGTGCAGGAGGCCAGCATATCCCTGTTAACAGGATCATGGTGTTAAAGAGGGCCCAACAGGCAAGGATGTCTTTTTTAAATTTCAGATAGAGTTGGGTGAAGTGGGGCTTTGGGGAGAGATCTTGTGTACCTTCAGGGAGCCAGAAAGTTCACTTTATATCTCTAGAAGACTCATTCCACTGACTGGGACAGAACCAAAGAGAGGAGGTAGCCATCTGACAAAAATACTTGGTTAGAGATAGACACTGACTCTCTTGTTCATTCCACACACATTTCCTGAGTACTTATTGGTACCAGGCACAGTGCTAGGAGTTGAAAGGACCAAGATGAATTTAAAAACCACTCTCTAATCACTTGAGCCCAGGAGTTTGAGGCTGCAGTGAGCTGTGATTATGCCACTACACTCCAAACTGGAAAAAAAAGTGAGACTCTGTCTCTTAAAAAAAAATTAAAAAATAAAAACCTCTAAGAGATTATCTTCCATTTGGAGAAGAGCAACATGCATAAAAAGCAATGACAATTCTCTGGTGAAGAAAGAAAAAGGTGATAAAATGTGAAAAACAAGTACAGAGTTAGCATGACAGTGCGGGGCTATTGGGGGAGATACAAGGTAAATATTCCAGGGACAAAACCTTGAAGGCAGATTACCAGGGTGGCAAGGATGAGGATGGCATTTCAGGTGGTCATGACTGCATTTGCAGAAGCAGCATGTTGTGCTTGAGGAGTGGGACGAGATGCTGTCTGATGACTATGGAGTGGGAGGCAGTAAGCTGGAGAGGGGGCGGGAGCCCAAGGTAGAACCTGTTTGCCTTGTCTCCAGTTTAATGATAAATTCCAATAAGCCTGTACACCACATTCTCAACTTGTTAAATCCTTTAGCAGCAATTATTACTCTGTGGCCTCCATTAAATGCTTATTGACGAGAAGCCTTTCCCAGTAGCAAAAGTCTCCCTCACTTGCTCCGTCTCACTAGATATTATTAGATGATAAGGGCAGATGGGACACTTTTATGGCATGCATCTTGCCTTGTGTCTGATGAGACTGGCACTCAAATCAGAGCCAGTTTATTGTCCTGGTGGGTCTCTGGAGTGAGTCCATTTTAGCCCTATCACTGTATTTCTCTGGGTTTGGCTTGAGAGGGTACTTAGTTGAAACAAATTGCAGTGTACAAATGGTACAGGTGCACTGACCCTGTTACTGATCCTGGGAATGTACACTCACTGTGTCCTTCAGCCTGCGATGTGGCCCAGACAGAGCACAGTCTCCATTAGAACAGTGTGGCTCAGTATGCCCACAGCAAAAAAAGAAAAAGCAAGAGAGGCACTTAATAAAGGTCATTTATTCTCCGTCTCAGCATCACATTTCATTGCTGTTGATGCCACCATTCAAACAAATGTTCTAATTTACAGTTTCTGGGAACTTTTGGAAAAATGGATGAGAGCCCCAGGTTACCTGAGATGCTACAGTTACATGTTTTAATGGTTCTAACAATGTATATTTTGTCAAAATGAAATAGAATTTTGAAAGACTTCATAATAGTTGTAAAAAACAGCCACCTTTTCAGTTACAGTCATCATGAGGCTGCTCTTGTGAATAGCTTGGCACACTTTGCAAATATCTCATTAAACCATCCAAACTCCCTGGGAAAAAGCTAGCAGCAGCTTGTTGACTGCTTTCTTCCCACACAGTAGGGGGGATTCCTGCTACCTCAAAGGAAGTATGAAGACACCACGGCCCACCTAGGCTGAGAGTTTTTCATCTTCACACTGTAGCTCAGAGTACACACCCTCCAGCCAGCCAGTGCCCTGTTTCAGTCTTCACTGATCCCTACTCTGGGCCAGGCTCTGTGCTTCGAGCTGAAATCCCAGGATGGAGAAAACACCACTTCCCTTCCTAAAGGGTTTACTGTCCAGTGGATAGGAAAGACATATAAGCAGGCTTTTTCAATAAAATGTGGCATGTGATTTATTAAAGGTAAGTCAGAGATGAGTTAACCTAAGCTAGATGTCAAAGAAGCCGTCTCAGCAGCCTTCTACCCTCCCAGCACCCAGACACTTGTATCCCCAACTCTGTGGCAGCCACGATGGATTAGTTAATCCAGTTTCCAATCCCCTTTCCCTTACTGTTCTCACTTGAGAGGCTGTCAAGCTAAATAGATGCCTTTCTAGCCTTTGTTGCAGCTAGAGTGGCCATGTAACCTAGTTCTGGCCAATGAGACAGAAGCAAAATCTACAGGAGGTTCTAAAAAAGCTCTTGTGTTCTTGATTAAGAGGAATAGCTAATCTGGTACAGCTTCTTGCTCCTCCTTCTTGCCTTTATTGAGGTTATGATGGCTGTAGCTGCAACAGCAATCTTGTGACCATGAGAGAGAAACTGAAAGAATTGCAGGTCATTGTTGAACCCATGATCTAATGTTAGGTGCCTACTACCAGACTTTTTGTCATGTTAGAAACAAATGAACCTCTCTTTGTTTAGACCACTGAGGTTAGGCTTCTGGTATTTGCAGCTAATATATCCCTAACTGATATAGGTACCTAGTAGGTAATTGATAAATAGTGATTGAAGTAATAAATAATGTGATCATATGAATTGGGTCTTAACATATTGGGATGTGCTGGGGGGTTTTCTGGTTGGAGGAAACCAAAATAGCCTGTACAGAAGGTTGAAGCAGGAAGCCATGAAGATGTCACAAAGAAGTCCTAACAGGTAGTTCATTGTTGCTAGAATATAAAGTAGGAAGCTGGATGAAAGCCTGGAGAAGGAGATAACATGGGCCAAATTGAAACAGTTTCCTTTGATACAAGCAGGGTCCCAGGTTCCTATGACTAAGCACTCTACATGTTGCCCCCAGAACTGCAGGATTACAGCTAAGACCATCAGAGCAAGATGAACAATAAAGGCAGTAAATGCATTCTTCCTGTTGGTTGCTGTATTATCTATTACTGCATAACCAATTACACCAAAATGTAGCAGCTTAAGACAACACATTTATTTATTATCTCACAGTTTCTGTGGGTCTTGAATCCAGATATAATTTAACTTATAAAACCTGTCTTATAAAGCTTCAGTCAGTGTTCGCAGGATTGCAGTCACATCTGAAAACTTGACTGGGGAAAGATCGTGCCCACACTCATGCACATAGTTGTTGGAGATCCAGTTCCTCACTGGATGTTGGCCGCCAGAGGTCTCTCTCACTCTCTGGGCCCATGAGCGTCTCCATGGGGCAGCTCACAGCCTGCCTCCTGGCTGCAGCAGGGTGAGCAAGTGAGAAAGCAAAAGAGGTGAGCAAAAGGGAAGCCAGAGGCCTTTGGTAACCTTAGCTCAGAAGTGGTAACCACTACTGCTGTATTCTGTTTGTTGTAAGCAAGTTTCAGCCTATACTTAAGGGATGAGATTACTAGTGAATTCTAGAAGGATCACTGGGAGCCATCTTAAACACTGCCTACCACAGAAACACCACCATCTCCTTTCTCCTCCTGCTCCACCAGGGTCAGCAGTAGCAGCACCTTTCTCACCATTGTTGTCATCATCACAACCACAGTGATTGTTTATTAAACGCTTCTTCTGTATCAGGCATTTTCCATATGTAACTATCCTCACTATAACCTTGTAAGAGTAAGTAACTTATCCCCATCTTGCAGGTTAGAAAACTGAGGCTCAGAGAGGGTCTGTGGTTTGCCCTAGGCCTCACAGCCAGTGAGAGGCAGAACTAGGGGTCACCCAAGGCCCACCTCGAGGAGGCAGCATCTCAGAGGCAAGAGAACCGTGTCTGCCAGCCAGTCCTGGAGCCTGGGCTGTTTCCTTCTCACCTTTAACCTCAACAGAGTGAGGTCAGAGGGTAGGCTGCACCTTCTCAAAATGCTTGGGCCCCAGATAAAGGACAATATGTGAGATCAGAATACAGTCTGCACATTAGATAATAGTCCAGTAACAATGTTGGTTTCCTGATTTTAATCATTGTTCTGCAGTTATGTAACAAAGTGTCTTCATTCTGAGAAAACACATACTGAAGTATTTAGAGGTAAAGAGATTTTATGTCTATGACTTACTCTCAAACATTTCAGGAAAAATATTTATAAACAGGTATGTACGTGTGTGGAAAGAGAGTGAATGATAAAGCAAGTGTGGTAAAATGTTAACACTGGGGAATCTGGATAAAGAGTATAAAAAATTTTGTATAAATTTTGTAACTTTTTTTCAATAAGTCTAAAATTGTTTAAAAGTAAAAAGTATTTTAAAAGTGCTAATCTACTCTAGGACCTTGTGAGATCTATTAGGACTACCAGAAATGACACTGTGGGGATCTTCTAGCCCTCCTTCTGATCCCAGGGTGATCTGTCAGAGCCCAAGGAGGATATAGAAGTTCAGAACAGAACATGGGTTCTGGGATCAGGCTGCCGGGGTTCCATTCCTGGCCCAGTAGCTTCTAAGGTCCCTGAGCTGTATGAGTAACCACTCAGGGTTGTTAAAAAGGACTTGGCAAGAGAAGGATATACCTTGGCATAGCACTTGGCGTACTTCATGGCCCATGGCAAACCCTCCTTAAATGTTGTTTTAATGGCCTCCTCAGTCATCTTACAAGCTGAGAAGTAATGGTCTGTGTGTGGTTTAGAGAGACTGATCTGGATAATTGTCTCAGTGCTAACTCCCTGACATGAGCTTTTGTCCCCATAAAAGCAGGGTGGCCACTGCAACGGGTGTGGATGTGCCGGACAAGATGAAGAGCCGAATCCCTGTGGTTCTCCTGGCCTGTGGCTCCTTTAACCCCATCACCAACATGCACCTGCGCTTGTTTGAGGTGGCCAGAGATCACCTACACCAAACAGGTCAGTCAGGGGGCCCTGAGTCCAACAGAAGAACTGGTGGGTTAGGCTTCATGGGGCTTTTCTGACTGCTGACATCACTATTAAAACAGCTCAGTTTATTTATTCACAGCATAACTAGAGGCATTTTTTTTCCATCATATTCAAAGGGTTGATGCTTATAGTTTTGTGACATGTATACAAGTCATACCCCTTGCCATAGAGCTGAACACATCTCAAGGTCTGCCCTCCCTGCCCACCTCACATTGGCAATGAATGACAACAGGCCCTCTATAGAACCTGTGCCACAATCAGGGCATCCTTTCTGGTACTCCCAATATCTACCTACACAGCCAGATGAATAGGTAGCATGTGCCTTAGAAAGCTCCTGATACTCTTCAGAGGGTAAGCAAATGCTTGACAACGGGCATTTTGACATTTTCTCATTTTAAAGAATATATCTTAGATAATTACAAATTAATAATCTTGTATATAGGGCATTTCCAATACAGATGGCATGACTTTGACAGAAATATTTAATCAGCTGAAAATATATAATCTGAGAATATTTCATCTCCTTGACTTTCTATTTCATTATTAAAGGAGTAAAGTGACATTTATAATCTGCATGATTGTTTCTAAAGAATGTAAGTAACGTATCTGTTGCTATCAAGTATATATGAAATTATTTACTTGTATATTTATGAATGTATTATGTATTCATATATGTATTTTGTGTTTCTATATTGTTTGTAAAAGTTTGCCTTTAAGGACATTGTTTTTATACCAGAATCAATTCCTATTTACTTTTAATATAGCAAATAGTATTTGAGTAATGTGGAAATCATTTCTTCAAAGAAATAATGCATAAGTATTAGTTTATTTTAAAGGGAATATCTTTATTTTAAAAACATATTCTTATTTAAAAAGTGCAAGTGTCTATCCTTGATAAATAAATAGCTTAGTAAATAATAGGAATAAAAAATATTCAAACAATTCATTAAAACTAGTTGGTGGGCATTATTAGACAGTATACCAAAGAGGAAGTATAAATGGCCAACAAATTTAGGGAAAGATGCTTAAAATCACTAATAATCAAAGAAAGTGCAAATAAAAATGTGATAAACTACACAAAGTGATAAGCACCACCATGAGGGCATCTGCTGTGACTGCTGGAACACCACAGAATTGCCACCATCTGCCACTGGGCTTATAGTTAGTGCTCAAAAAATATCTGTTGCAGGAGTAAATAGTTTTAGCCTATGAGACTGGCAAAGATTAAAGATGGACAAAATTCAGTGCTGGCAGAATAAAGAAGCACTGGTAGTAGTAGGACTGTACTGGTAGTAATAGGATAAATTTTGAGGACAATTTGGTGTTCTGTGACAAAAGATTTAAAGTCTCTACCCATACTCATAATGAAGAGAAAAAGGAACCAATGGAAACCAAATCAGATTTGATGCAGATGTTAGAATTAGCAGACAAAGACTTGAAAACAGTTATTATAATTACGTGCTATATGTTCAAGTTAAGCAGAGATATGGAAAATATAAAAGGACCCAAATCAAACATCTAGAATTAAATACTACAACCTGTGAGATGAAAAATACACTGTAAACAATAAAAAACAGATTAGACATTACAGAAGAAAAGGTTAGTGAACTTGAAGATATAATAATAGGAACTATCTAAAAATACAGGAAGAAAAAATTTTAAAAAAGAAAGAATAACAATGAGATATGGGAGAACTTGAAGCAGCTTAATATACTTGGAATTGGAATCCCAGAAGGAGAAAACAAAGGAAGAACTAGAAAAAATATTTGAAGAAATAATGACTGAAATTTCTCCAAATTTTATGAAAACCCACAGATCCAACTATCTGAACAAACTCCAAACACAAGAAACATTAAGAAAACAACACTGAAATATATAATAATCAAATTTCTCAAAACTGGTAATAGTCAAAAGCAACCACAGAACAAAAATAAAGATGACAGCAGATATCTTGTTACTGAATTTACCAAAAAAGAATTTAGTGTAATAACATTGTTAAAGAACTGAAAGAAAATACCGTTGACCTAGAATTCTATATCCATTCCATATCCAGCAAAAGTATCTTTCAAAAATGAAAGCAAAGTAAAGGCATTTTCGGATACTCAAAAGCTGAAAGAACTCACCACCAGCAAACTTGCATTACAAGAAATACTAAATTCTTCAGGCAGAAGGAAAATAATACCAAACAGAAGCATGGACCAACACAGAGGAATACAGAGCATTGGAAATGGTAACCACATGGGGCAATTATGTAATATTTCTTATTGATTAATTTTCTTTAAAAGGTAATTAACAGTTTAAACAAAAGTAACAATACACTGTGGGATTTATAACCTATGTAGAAGTAAAATATATGATAACAGTAGAATAAAGGCTGAGGGGGTAAAAGGGAATATACATAAAGTGGTATAACATCACTTAAAGATAGACCTAAGAAGTTAAAGATATGTTTTAAACTCTAATGCAACTGTTAAAATGAAGCAGTTATGGTTAATAAGCATACAGAGGAAGTAAAATAGAATTGGAATATACTCAGTTAATTCAAAAGAAGAAAAAGAAGAAACAGGGAACAAAAAACAGATGAGACAAAAAGAAAACAACATAAGAGATTTAAACCTAACTATATCAATAATCACATTAAATATAAGTAGCCTAACGACTTCTGCAAAAAGGCAGACTGCCAGATTCAATAAAATAAGCAAGACCCAACTATAAACAAGAAGCATACTTTAATTAGAAACCCAAATAGGTTAAAAGTAAGAGAACAGAAAACTGTCCTATGCTAACACTAATTAAAAGAAAGCTGGAGTGGCTATAGTAGTATCAGAGAAAGTAGATTTCAGAGGAGTGAATATTACGAGGGATAAATAAGGTCATTTCATAATCATAAAGGGGTTAATGCTTTAAGCAGAAGTAATACGCTTTTTGCACTTAGTAATATAACTTCTAAATATATAAGAAGCAAAAACTTATAGAATTGCAAGGAGAAATAGACAAACCCACATTTAGAGTCAGCTATTTTAATGCTCTTCTCAGTAATTAATAGAATAAGCACACAGAAAATTAATAGAAGACTTGAACAACACTATTAAACAATTTGACCTAATTGACATTTATAGACCACTGCATCCTACATCACAGAATACACATCCTTCCCAAGGGCACACAGAACATTTACCAAAATAAGCCATATTCTGAACCATAAAACAAGTCTCGGCCTGGTGCGGTGGCTCACGCCTGTAATCCCAACACTTTGGGAGGCCAATGTGGGTGGATCACCTGAGGTCAGGAGTTCGAGACTAGCCTGGCCAACATGGTGAAACCCCATCTCTACTAAGAATACAAAAATCAACCAGTTATGGTGGCACGCACCTATAATCCCAGCTACTCAGGAGGCTGAGGCAGGAGAATTGGCTTGAACCTGAGAGGCACAGTTTGCAGTGAGCCGAGATCATGCCACTGCACTCCAGCCTAGGGAATGGAACGAGACTCCATCTCAATAAAAAAAAAAGTCTCAATAAATGTAAAAGGACTGAAGTAATACAAAGTGTATTCTCTGACCACAGTGGAATTACATTAGAAATCAATAACAGAAAGATCGCTGGAAGATCTCCAAATATGGAAATAAAATAACATACTTCTAAAAACTCATGGGTCACAGAAGAAATCAAAATGGAAATTAGAAAACATTTTGAACTCCATGAAAGTGAAAACAATATATAAAAAATTTAGGATGCCACTGAAGTAGTACTTAAGGAGAGTTTTATAGCACGAAATATTATATTAGGAAAAAAATGGTCTCAAATCAATGATTTCAACTTCCACCTTAATAAACAAAGGAACAGATGAAAAACAAAATAAGCAGAAGAAAGGAAATACAATAATGTGCCACACTATGACATTTCAGCAAATAACAGACCATATGTACGACAATGGTCTCATAAGGCTGTAATGGAGTTGAAAAGTTCCTATTGACCAGTGACGTTATAGCATCATGGCTCAAGGCATTACTCGTGTTTGTGGTGATGCTAGTGTAAATAAACCTACTGCATGACTAATCATATAAAAATCTAAAAAGTCTACCATAGGCCAGGCATGTTGGCTCACACCTGTAATCCCAGCACTTTGGGAGGCCAAGGCGGGTGGATCATGAGGTCAAGAGATCAAGACCAGCCTGGCCAAGATGGTGAAACCCCATCTCTACTAAAAATACAAAAATTAGCCAGTCCTGGTGGCACACGCCTGTAATCCCAGCTACTCAGGAGGCTGAGGCAGGGAATTGCTTGAACCTGGGAGGTGGAGGTTGCAGTGAGCCAAGATCGAGCCACTGCACTCCAGCTTGGGTGACAGAGCGAGACTCTGTCTCAATCAATCAATCAATCAATAAGTCTAGCATATACAATTATATACAGTACATAATACTTGATAATGGTAATAAATGACTAAGTTACTGATTTATGTATTTACTATACTTTTATCCTTAGAGTCTATTCTGTTCGTTTAAAAAAAAAAAAAAAAAAAAACTCACACCTGTAATCCCAGCACTTTGGGAGGCCGAGACGGGCGGATCACAAGGTCAGGAGATCAAGACCATCCTGGCTAACACGGCGAAACCCCATCTCTACTAAAAATACAAAAAAACTAGCCAGGCGTAGTGGCGGGCGCCTGTAGTCCCAACTACTCGGAAGGCTGAGGTAGGAGAATGGCGTGAACCCGGGAGGCGGAGCTTGCAGTGAGCCGAGATCACGCCACCGCACTCCAGCCTGGGCGACTGAGCAAGACTCCGTCTCAAAAAGAAAAAAGAAAAAAAAAGTTAACTGTAAAAGAGCCTCAGGCAGCTCCTTCAGGAAGAATTCCAGAAGAAGGGATTGTTATCATAGATGAGAGCTCCGTGCATGTTTCTGCCCCTGCAGACCCTCCAGTGGGACAAGATGTGGAGGTAGAAGATGGTGATATTGATGATCCTGATC